ATATATATATATATTCTGTGTAGACATCGAGGTACCAGAGATGACGGATATTTGACTGGGGCTCCACTCAATCTAGCAGCTGAGGTTTTCAGTTATCTCCATTCATGCTGGTAAAGTGAAAGTATCATGGTTTTCGCACCATATGGTGTAAGTGATGTTGGTTTACATCATGTTGGATCGGAATGTTGCTATGCTATGACCATAAGGGTGACCGTGTGGCTGGGCCATATGACGGAAAAGCGAACAATGGTCTGGGTCAGAAGCACGATACCATAAGTCCACTTGGATATGCTCTAAGGATCATACTTTGAAGGCATACACACTGTCTGCAAGGACTAGGCCATAAAAAATCTTCAGTAAGGCAGTCCAACAGTGTATAAGGTTAGACATCGGTTTGAACTCTGTGCAAACATGTAATCCAATTTCATGTGTGTTTACCTGGATGAGCAGGTCATGTGCATTCGACGAACAGTGCAATTCACTTCAGTCAATAACTACAAAACTTACTATTCCATAGGCACTTGGTATGTAGAGTAGGGATACGGTGACCACCGAAACGACCAGGTTGTTCTGCAGGAAGGAGGCTATGAAGGAGAATCACATGAATACGCTTGGTTAGGTGATCGATAGACAGGCGACTACGGGAATCTCGGGATGGTTTATACGTGGATTGAGGCTAATCAACCGGATCGTAAATCATGCATAATTCGCCCCCAACAGTGCAGTTGGCCTTTATTTAAGGAGAAAATCGATTTTGTTAGAAAACCGCGCACGACAATTAGCAAATAATTTTTGCCACGCAAATGAAACTGTAATAAGGGGGGATCAGTTGAGAGGGGTATAATTTACCAATGTCATTAGAGTCGCTTTTCTTTATGGTTGAAGTACAAAACGGAAGTTCAAGCGGTGCCTTGAGTGTTTTAATCCCCAAAAACTGAGATAACGAGTTTCATATGGTATCATATCAAGACAACATCCTTTCAAGTTCAACCTCGAGGCGAAATCGCGGTGCACCGTAGCCAGTACGGTATCATCGTAGAGACCCGCACTCGTATGGAAGAATGAGCAGTCACAGGGATTGAAAAATATCAAATTACTTACTTGTTTTATACTAAACTCGCATAATTAAGCTCTCGCTGCATAAGCATGAAAGGAAGTAGCCCAGTTTCAACGGAGGCTTCGGCACTGACAGAAAGTCTGTCCTATTAAATACGGTCTTTATGGGGACACACAATGAAACAATGCTGCAAAACTGGAACACGCCCTTCGTAAATTAGCAATAATCGATGACCTGTTATTGGTCGGAGCGATATCGCGATGGTTTACGGTGTTCCAAAGGCTGATATTTGTCACTTCGCCAACAGCATAATCACTACCAGCAATGGCGGTGTTGATTACCAGCGCTTGATCGCCACACAGCCATGGGAATTTAGTTGAAACTCAATCGGAAAAAAATGAAAAGTAGTGAAGACAGGTGGAATAGTTTCAGCCTGTCACAACTGCCAAAACTTTTTTTCCGTACAACCGCATGCACTCGGCACAAAAACGAATAACAAAAATGACTGTCGAATAGGTCCATGCTTCTCTTTTATTATAACGATACTCATGACGGACTTGTTTTGTTATTATCGACTCAGCTCCGTTTCTCACTGTGGTGTCCTTCAAGACTGAACAAAGCGGACCGGGGTTTTCAAAACACGTTGGTGGATACCCGAAAAAATATACCCAATCGCATGCTTCCTATGTCCACCTGTGTCCCGTGGTCAACTAAGTAGTAGCAGGTAGCCAAATGATTTGTTGTACACATCACTCGATTCAGGGATCTAAGTATCTGTGTTTCCCTAATATCTTTGACATATTTCGGTGATTACCGGTTTCAAAAACTTGCTGGTAGTTGGCACTTAGAAAAACGTCTGCGTATATTAAAATTTGGAGAGTTTTGTTATCAAACTGGCGACTGTTTGTACTTGTGTCTAGCAGCCCATAGATATATACTATCAGTGAATGCGATCTATAAATTCGGAAGTGAATTTAATAGGAAATCATCAATAAAAATCGTCGCTTCCGTGATACGCAGGAGGCCACGATAAAGTGATTTCTATTTGTTGTTCTACTGTGTTCACCGTCCGAACTTCTTTTCCGTGACATTCCATCATTCTGTGTGCTTCGCTCAGTGTAACTCCATCAGTAATGAGCCTAGGAAATGATGAGACTCGTCCACAGACACTATCCTTGTCATAGATGTGTAATCATGCCAGTCTATAGAGATTAATTATATCACAAGGTTGTAACGGTTTGAAGAGTTAAAACGAAGACCAATGGCCGATGGCGGTAATCGGGAACATTTTGTCGAAAGCCCCCAAACAAAATGACTTGTAAATTTTTCACAAAGTTGGTTACTTCAATAGCATAAGCAGGGGTAACAAATTTAAGTGCTGGAACAAATTTCTAGAGAAATCCGCAGCTGACGTTTCTCGTCATTTCGAACTTCAGCTCCATGCAATCTTCAAGTTCAATAAAGAAGCAAATTGTTGGGGCTCCGAGAGAATGGAAATCTAGAGGAGTGCGGCCTGAAAGTTGGCTGACTTTGACAGCTGGTCTGGTAACTGCAGTCAAGAGAAACAGACAGATTTTTCACATGTACGGACAATCTTGTGTGACGACATCGCGGTATACCAACTGTTTGTCTAGCAGTCAACGGACATAAATAGATTTGGAAAATGAAACCGGTGACCAATAAAACTGGCGCACAGTCAGCAGACTTTTGGGTATGGAAGTACACACTACCCATTTTGGGAAACCACCTGAAGAAATCTGCAATAGTCCTGGACGTCACACAGATCGGAGAAAAACGAGGTCCATTTGAGGCCTGGCTCCCCAGAGAGGCAGATATAGGTATTAAAAAGATTATCCCCTGATGGTATTTGTACCAGGAGATACGGATCCAACAAAAATATGAAGATGGGAATAGCTGATTAATGCCTAATATGGTGACAGTGGTCTGTAGAAGATAAACTGAAGAGTTACAACTTAATAGGCGAGTGGTCACATGTGAACCAAGTTCCAAAGCATCCAAGGGAAATTGTGTATAATGTCGTAACTAGGGTGCTGTCCAGAGTGATCCTGGCAAACACAATGCCGAACCTGTCTTTGATAGGTTAGTTCAGATATGAACAGAATCGGACAGTACGGAAAGAAGCTGGTGCCGTGCTGACCCATTAAGATTATTGTCTTTGTGAGATTATTTGCAATCAACAGCGTTCCCAGACAATGTACGGCATGAGGAAGAATCAACGTTGGTGGGAGACTGAACTAGCTGTAATGGTCAACCATTCCAGGCCCGGGAATCAGGCGAAGTTCTCCATGTGAAAGCGAACCGATTGCAAAAATTTTTCACGACAAAATGGCTCGCGGAGTTAACGGGATTCATCAGAGACGTTACAGATTAGGTGCGGATAAACAATTTTACCTGTGACAAAAAACGGTTGGATAGAGTTCAGTTAGCATGCGGTGGACACTGTCTTTAGGTACCAATTTCGTTAACGGAGAAAGGGTCGGTTGCGATTGAAGAAGTACGCACCGGCGGAGCGCAGATTCACTAGAATAATTTCCTAAAACAGGATCAGTTTCAGTGGAAACTAAAATGTCTCCTTGATGGAGTGTTAATGGGGACACCCGTAAACTTCTGTTGCCTTTCGCTAACGGTAAATCAATTGCGTGTAAGCCCCCAAAGGAAGTTGTGAGGTAAAGTGACAGGTGAGACTTCATTAGATATCCAGTTTTGCTGGAATACACATACTGTTCCTCATCAGAAATATACGCACATGGCTCTCTTTTAGAGAAAGTTGGTCGAAAGTATTCCCTAGGGAGCTAATTTTACAGCAGAATACTATTTCATGGAACGTTACACAAGACAGAACGCTCGACCGTTAATAGACTTTCGAAAGCTGCAAATTACCAAAACTCAAATTGTCCCGAGATGATGAATGTGTATGCACTTAAAAGGCTTGAAGACCATAAAAATGGTTCAGGTATACATAGCATAGTGTCACCGCTTTAGCTGTTCAGAAGAGCCATAAATTGGTTAGCGAAGACAACGTAGGGAACTAGATGAAAAAATTTGAACACACGTACCTCTGAGCTTAGGTGGTCAACATCAATGAAGTGCGAACGCCTCGGAATGTGTTCGCACAGTGTTCTCCTATGTTTCATTTTCACATTACCAGGAAACTACGCTAGACCAACTACAATCTGGAAATGATACAACCGCGTAATTAACAGAAAACCCAGCGCTACGACCGAAACATCCGAGCTTTGTCTACTTAACACGGAACACAATGGTAACACAGTTTGGAAATTTATGAGAAAGGTTTGGTAAACATGTTTCTTTTTGAAATTCTAGCGCGCAACAATTCAAAAGTACCTTGGTAAACGGAACATCAACGGAGAATGCAAATGGGGCGAGATAGTCCAAGTGATTAGAGCGCGAATTTACTGACCGGAAGGTATGTGGTTCGAACCCGACCTCTACCTCTCGACTTCCCCTGTCTAGGCTTGGGCAACCTGGCAGTATCCCAGCCCTCGTGCAACCTTCGGGTGGCATGGCAGTTAGGCACCGGAATGGTTCTACAACTGAAGGACAGAATGCAAACGCTCCGAAACGTTTTGATAAGGCATTGGAGTTGCGGAAAAATCCAGATATTTTGTTAGCCAGCCAGACGAAGGAGCTGGAATCGTGTTGTTGGACAAAAACAACTGTACTAGGGAAGTTGGGACCAATGTTGCCGAATGGTCAAGATATCGTTACAAGGCGACTGAGGAAGCAGTAAATGAAAAGGGAGACTTTCCGATAGTACGCGTATTCATACTCGTCCGCTATCCAGCACATATGCTAGTATCCCAGCCTCGTGCAACCTTCGGGTTGCATGGCAGTTAGGCACCGGAATGGTTCTACAACTGAAGGACAGAATGCAAACGCTCCGAAACGTTTTGATAAGGCATTGGAGTTGCGGAAAAATCCAGATATTTTGTTAGCCAGCCAGACGAAGGAGCTGGAATCGTGTTGTTGGACAAAAACAACTGTACTAGGGAAGTTGGGACCAATGTTGCCGAATGGTCAAGATATCGTTACAAGGCGACTGAGGAAGCAGTAAATGAAAAGGGAGACTTTCCGATAGTACGCGTATTCATACTCGTCCGCTATCCAGCACATATGCTAACAATATGTACATCGGAATTAGACGCAAAATCTCCCTCAGAATGGATACCCTGATAAGGCTGTTGACTATAGTAGGCAAAGAAATTACACGACAATCCTAATATAACTGCTGAAAGAAACAAGCCTGTTTATTAAAGATAGTATCGATTGACTGACAACCAGGATACTATATGATGGAATATGCAAGACCTAGTTATCGGACTAGAGAAGCATTACATTATCCTTTAGACTAACTTCATTTCTGTTTTTCGCAAAATAACTACAGTCTGCTTTTATTCACGTTATGTGTCTTCTCTTACATCTACTGCTGTCAGGTCAGTCACGTTGTGATCGCGTCTACTATACAGAAGAA